GGAGGAGGAGGGGCGAGGGGGACTGCTCCCTGGGGCAGAGCATCAGGAAACTGAAACCAGCAACAGAGAAGACAACAGAAGCCGGACCCCTCGTCGGGCGGGGACGGAGCTACCAAGAGCGAAGGGCAGGTCAAGAAGCCGAGGTTGTCGTCCCCCACCCCCCAGGACTGCCGACAGAGTCAGCCCCCGGTCTGTCGTCTGAGCTGAGTGCAGACAAACCAGATAGGCGCCTGGGCCCCCTGCCCTCGTCTTCGGAGGTGCTCAGCCCCTGCCTTTCTCCCCACGGGGTCTCCCGAGCCACAGGGCACGGCTGCTCAGAGCTGCGTCCTTGTGATGGGCCGTGTCAGCGGAAGCCTGCTTCCCGAGGCTGGCCTTGCTGCCCAGCCCGAGCCCTGGGCGCCCAGGAAGGGGCTCCGGGCAGTCCGACACAGCTTGTCTAGGCCGCCTTTCCACTGCCCTCCTCGCGTCATTCTCCACCTCGGCTGTCCGAGCACCCGGGGTTTTCCGAGCGCACGGTGCCCGGCTCGCTGTGGGTTTAGCAGGAGATTGTGCTTTGGCCGTGTGGTCAGACAGCAGGTGTTCCCACGTGTGCCAGCGGCTGGCCCCCCAGCACCCCTGCGATGGGAGGAGACCAGAGGCTGTGCACAGATGCACCACTAGGGGGCAGCCGCACGCACTTGTCTGTGCTGCTGGTGAGAACCAGAGTGCTCCCTAGACCCCTGAAGGTCCCCAGGGTAGGGAGATGGCAGCCGGGGTCCTGCAGCACCCAGCTTATCTGTGGTGCTGCTTCCTGGGTGACCTCACACCCAGGGTCCTGATGGGGAGACGAGATGGAGGGGTTCTGGGCCAAGCTCCACCCCTGAGCCCGGTGCAGCCCATGCCTCACTGGGAGTAGGAAATGGCTGCATGGCTGTGGTCCTTGGCTTCCTCATCTGTACAGGGAGGCTGGGACCCCCGCAGAGCGCCATGATGGCAGCTGTGTCTGCTGATGGCACTGGGGCTAGACCCATGCGGACAAGCCCCCGCGGGGCTGGTGTGTAACCAAAGCACTGGGGAGTGCTCAGAAGCCCCGGGACTTCCTGGGGAGGTGGTCCCCACGTTGTCTGCTGCCAGCTCCCCAGGAACCTGAGCTCCGTCTCGTGTTGGCACCGGCTCCACAGCTCCCCCTGCCCGTCCAGGAAAGGCACCCATGTTCCGATCACCGCCCTGGCACAGAGACCGCTTCGGTCCTCATCTTCCTGAATCCGGCTCACTCAGGCCCCAGCCATCAGAACCGAGTCCTTAGTGGCCCCGTGCACCTGGGCAGGATCCCTTCATTCACGGATCTCACCGAGTCAGACTTGGGGTTCACACGGACGTTTCCGTGGCTGGTCAGCAGAGATGGGGGCGGTGGAGAGCGAGAAGAGAAGCCCTGGGAAGTTCGCAGAGAGGGGTCTGGGCGCCGTGCGCCCCCCCCCCCAACCCGGCCGTCACACCCAGAGTGCAGGGCGGGCCCTTTGTGATCCCCTCTGCCGCCAAAACAGAAGGCAGTGTTCCTGCTCCTAGTCCAGTGCCTGCCTGGCCGGGCACTGCGGCTCCGAGAACAGTGAGGCCACGTGCCAGGCAGCTGGGGGAGTGCACGCTCAGGGTTCTGGTGGGGGCTGCGTGCCCCCCAGTGAGGATGAGCTGCCCCGTGCTCTGTGGGATGTAGGCAGCAGGTCTGTGCCTCCTGTTTGGCGGGTGTGCAGTGGTGTCCTGAGGAGTGTTCTGTCCCCACGGTGCCCCTCGGGGCTGAGCCAGGGAGCAGGCGGAGCCAGGAGGCCCCCTCCGGAGCACAGCCAGCTCCCTCCTGACGCTGAGGGTTTGTGACGGAGCGAAACTGCCTTTGCGGGCCCCGTGCTCCGTGCTGGCCTTCCACCCTGCAGGAGAAGTGAGCTGGAAAACAGGGCCTGGCGGGCACGGCAGGGGTGCCGTCAGCTCTCGGCTGAGCTGTGCGTGGTTCGGACAGGGTGTCTGGAAGGAGCCCAGGACCCATGGGGCTCTGGGTCCATGGGAAGGCAGAGCACTCCTGCCCCCTCCAACACACACACCTCCTCCAGGCAGTCCACCGCCACTGCTCTCCCTTCTCTTCCTGATCTTGTCACCCCCTGACAAGTGAGACAGAGCCTCACTGGGCTCTTGACCCCAGAGAACTGCAGATGGTGCCCACAGTGAGGGTGGGAGCTGAGGGGCCCAGAGCTGACTGCTGGTAGCCAAGGAGTCCCCAGCCAGATTCAGAATTCAGGACGCCACCATCCGGGTCTGCAGAGGGCCCTGCCCGGTGCTGGAGGCACAACTGTGTGCCACACGCATGCTCCCTGCAGAGCGGGAGTGCCCAGGACCCAGAGGGAGGTGGCCTGTGCCCTCTGTTCACACGTGGGGCCTCCAGCAGGCCAGCGGCACGCCTGGTGCAGGTGTGCCGAGTACCCGGCCGCCTGGCGGTGACGGTGGGGGGGGGCAGGGGTCCCCTGAGGCCAGTGGTGGCTGGACCAGGCGCCACGGGGCTCCTCAGATCAGTTGGTGATGATGGGAATTTTGAGAGCCAGTTGAAAATCATAGCCATTGTTAAAATTCAGTATAAATTTATATTTAGATTTTATTTATGTACTGAGAGAAAAAGCTAATATATATGCAGCACGCTGCTCGCTACCGATTTTGCCGCCTTCTGCTGTGACGCAGCCTTTGAGGTCCTCTGGCGGTGGGCATGGCAGCCGCGGCATCTGTGCACGCGCCGGCACCAGGAGTCCACGCGGGCTGCAGGGCAGGCGCTGGCGTGGGGTCGGCCTGGCCTGAGGGCCGAGGGCCCCACTGTGTGCGAGCCGTTCCTGCAGAACACGCAGGCGTGCTGGGAGCTACACAGCGGCTCCCCTCCCACGCCCAGGTGGGAAACCCTTCTAGCGCCGACTCTCCTCGCCCTGCAGCTTGGCTGCCACTGGCCCCGTGTCCACGTCCGACCTCAGCTCAGGATGAAGGTGCTCACTGGGCGCTGGCTCCGTGCACATCTGCTGGGGTTTGCATGCTGCCACTCGGGGCCCAGAAGAGCCTCTCTTCTCCGGAAGCTTCCGTGGGGCCCAGGCTAACCTCAGCCGCTCTCCCTGGTGTCGAGATCTTGGAAGGCCGTGTCCTTGGCCCTGGTGTTTGGGTGTCTTCCTCTGTTTTCCCGTTTCCGATGCTCTGTGAGTGTTCCTGTCTGGTGTGTCCCGGTGCCCCGTGTCCGTGTGCTGCATGTGTGAACCCCAGTACATCCTGCGTCTGGGGCTTTCTCCCTGTGTCCAGCCGGCCCTGTTGTGAGCTCATCTTCCCAGGACGCCCTCCGTGTCTGATTCCCGATTGCCACAGTGTCTGTCCACACGCGAGTTCCCGCACATCCGAGCCCACTGTGCAGTGCGTGTCTCCCGTGTGGAAGTGTGTCCAGTCGTGTGCCAAGTGACACATGCGTGTATCCGCTGCAGAGATGTTCCACGTACGTCAGATTAATAAATGAGCGGTTTTAGCTCCATTCTACTCCAACGGAGATCACTGTGTGGCTGCTCTTCCAAGCACGGCCCAGCCTTCAGGGTCCCTGGGTGCGGGGGGGCCGGGGCCAGGCTGCTGCGCTGGCTGGTTGCACGCACGTTTTCCAGTGCTGGTGGGGGACGGAATAGGCGCTTGTGTGTCTGCCCTGGAGCGGGGGTCTGGAGAGAGCAGGCGGGCGTGGGCGTGTCCCGTGGCTGCCCTGCTGAAGGCAGAGGCATGGGCCACACCACCCCTGCCCTCGTCCCCGCGAGAACACTGTCCCTGCATTTCACGCGAGACCCAGGTGTCGTCTAACACGGGTGGGGCTGGCCGAGCGCCGGAGACCCAGCCCCCTTTGCTCACTGTGGTTCCCTGGGGGGCACAGGTGGCCACTGCCACTCCTATTTTCACACAAAATCGGGGCCAGGAAAGGCGCCGTTCCTTCCTTGTGACGTTCACACGGAGGTGGAGCAGGGGTTTGCCACAGGGACTACGGCACCGATTAGGACACCCACACCCCAGGTGGGAGTGCCTGGGCTGGGTTCCTGGCCCCGCTCCCCAGTCGTGCTCCCTGCCAGGACACACCTGGAGGCAGCAGACTGTGGCCCGAGGACTTGGACCCAGGTGTAGGGCTGGGCTTCTGAGTCCGGCCAGGCTCAGCCCCAGCTGTCGTGGGCGTGTGGGGGTGAGCCAGCAGATGGGAGGTGTCTGTGTGTGTGCGTGTGGCTCTGCCTCTCGGGTAGTGAAGGTGACTTTAAGACTCAAGGAGCGGGCCGGCGCCGCGGCTCACTAGGCTAATCCTCTGCCTAGCAGCGCCGGCACACCGGGTTCTAGTCCCGGTTGGGGCGCCGGATTCTGTCCCGGTTGCCCCTCTTCCAGGCCAGCTCTCTGCTGTGGCCTGGGAGTGCAGTGGAGGATGGCCCAGGTGCTTGGGCCCTGCACCCCATGGGAGACCAGGAAAAACACCTGGCTCCTGGCTCCTGCCATCGGATCAGCGCGCCGGCCGCGGCGGCCATTGGAGGGTGAACCAACGGCAAAGGAAGACCTTTCTCTCTGTCTCTCTCTCACTGTCCACTCTGCCTGTCAAAAAATAAAAAAAATAATAAAAAATAAAAAAAGACTCAAGGAGCGGTGCTCAGA